GTCGGCAAATAATGCACGACGTGGAATTCTCTGGGACGACATTCGTAGAATATGTCCAAGCCACCGAAGTCGGTGTTTCAAGATGGTGACACCAATTGGATTGTCGTCCCTGTGCCCGAACACACGATGCCGAACCTCTGTATTATTAACATGGTGTTGCCACTGGATGTCAGCAATCCTTGGGAGACAGCGATGATCGAACACAGAGAGTCGTCTAACGTCCTCAACTCGGAGAGACCAGGTTTCACAAGCATAGAGCAAAAATGCTGTCACCGACGCGTTGTAGACCCGACCTTTTACAGCCAGACTGCCACCGCAAAGATGGCGCAAATTGGTTTTCACTATACGTGCATTGATCTCATCACTCACATTCCCAACAGCACTTATGAAGCTACACAGATACACGAACTTCTCGACTACTTCTATCTGTTCACCATCCATAGTGAGTACAGGGTTAGCATCCTGCCGTTCTTGTAGAAGTACTTTGCACTTCGAAGGTGCAAAGCACATACCATACCTACGGACACTGATTGCCAACTGATTAAGTGCGGATTGCATGCTTTGGGCATTATCGCACAGTAAGACAATATCGTCCGCATACTCAAGGTCGAGAAGTCTTTCTCCAGGCAACAGATCCACACCACCATTACTTACCCCGACCGTTGTTGCTACCTTGACGTGGTGGTCGGGCTTGCCTATCGTGATGAAGCAACCGAGCTATACTGGCTGGAACAACCGTTCCTCAAGGTCCTACCATGTCAGACAGGTCGGTTGAAGAGCGGTAAGACTAAAAGCAACAAACCCAAGGTCCGAAGGCGAAGTCGTACTGCTGACTGTACAGAGGTGTGACAGCAGTAAGGTGTTTCCTTCAGACAACCAGCATGACAGCGATGCTGCCTTCCCACAAGGAGGGGTGGGGTTAGAAAAGGTCGACCCTAAAAATGCACACCTCACCTTACCTCACGGATTTCCGTCTCCGGCGGTAAGGCCCTTTGAAGAACGGAGCTAACACCAAAACCTTCCACGAAAAGGCCGTGCGCGACCGGCCTCAAGCAGTTGTCCCTTGGGCACTGCGGTCACGCTCTCAGGTCACTGAGACCACCTCTAATCCAATTTCCTTTTCAGGTACCTCCAGAACAACCCTTCCACGGTGTGGGCAACCGGGAAGTGATAACCGCCCTCATACTTCTAACAGCACTCAAGACCACTGTATTCATAATCAACCTCCTCTTCAATTCCTATTATTCCTCCTACATCGACTTTCAACTCTATATTTCCTCTTTCGGCTTCCACCTCAAGTGTCACCATAGCCAACGATTCTAGTGCTCAAAACTCTGTCCCAGGTCTACTGAAACCTCGCTCCAAACTACACATTGGAGCCTTCAACGTACGCACCCTATGTCAAATCGGTCAGCAGGCTTCCTTGGCTAAAACCCTAGAGTCTCTTTCCATTGATGTATGCTGTGTCTCCGAAACACGCATACAGGATTCCAGTGTGGTCATTCACTTGACCTCACCTCGGCAAGACGGAGAGCCAACGAGATACACCCTTCGTGTGTCTGGTGACCCGATGGCAAGTTCTCGTGGACTGGCAGGTGTAGGCATAGCACTAAGCATGAGGGCCGAACAAGCACTGCTAGAGTGGATCCCCGTCAACAGTCGTCTATGTGCTGTTCGGCTGAACGGCTACGTAAGAACTCGGAAGGATAGGGACACACGTCGTTGCCTTTTTGTCGTTTCTGCCTACGCTCCCACTGACTGCAGCTCAGATGAAGTGAAAGATGAATTTTACAGAAAGCTTCCGAACTTCTTCAGAAAGCTAAACGCTCAGACATAGTACTCGTAGCAGGTGATTTTAATGCTCAGATAGGCAGTTTAAACCAAACAGAAAGGCATTTAGGTGGATATTTTAGTATTCCGACACAGCGAACAGATAATGGTGATCGTCTGCTGCAGCTATGCTCAGACAATCGTTTATTTTTAGCAAACACAAATTTTAAGCATAAGGAGAGACATCGTCTAACATGGCGACCCCCTACACCAAACCAACGATGGACTCAAATAGACCATATTGCCATCAGTCATCGTTGGAGAGGGTCGGTAGAAGATTGTCGCTCATTCTGGAGTACCTGCTTGGACTCCGACCATGCCCTAATACGGGCACGCATCTGCTTGCGCCTCACTGGACGCAAAAAAGCCACATTAAAAAGACCCGTTAGAACTGAGTTGAGTAACGAGAAAACCAAAAGTAGGTTCCAGGAACAACTGAGGTCACACTTAGGTAGTTGTGAAGACGAGGCTGACCCAGATGTTGCTTGGAAGGGCATACAATCAGCTGTGGAAACAGCAGTGACATCTATTAGTGACTTAAACCACAGAGTTACAAGGAACCAGTGGATTTCTTCAAGGTCTGTCACACTGATGGATTCTCGCAAACTCGTCCCATCAGGTTCTGAACATGATGAAGAGCGTAAACAAATCAGATCTAGGTTAAGAAAAAGTCTAAGGAACGACCGTGAGCAGTGGTGGGTAACGAAAGCAAAAGAGATGGAAAAGGCGGCGACTATAGGGAACACAAGACAGCTTTACAGACTAATAAAAGAAACTGGAATTAATAAGTCAAGTGTAAGTGAGATTATTTCGGAAAAAGATGATACTCTCATCTGCTCCCAGTCCAGACGTTTAGAACGATGGGCGGAACATTTTAGAGAACAGTTCAGCTGGCCTTCAGCTACTCTACAACTACCCTCCATTCCCAGACAAAGTGAATGGAACATTGAAGTAGGTCCCCCAACTCTTGCTGAAGTTGAGAAGGCTATAGTTAATCTGAAACGAGGAAGGGCAGCTGGTCCAGATGGATTGGCTCCAGAGGTCTTTAAGGATGGTGGTCCAATTTTAGCGATTAGGTTGACTAATATTTTAGCTAAGATCTGGGAATTAGACGTTATCCCATCTGACTGGTCGCAATCACTTATCGTCCCAATATATAAGAAAGGGTCAAAATCATCCTGTGACAACCACAGAGGGATTAGTTTAACAAACATAGTATCTAAAATACTGGCCTCGATAATTATCAAACGCCTAACTAAGACTCGTGAACTACAAACACGAGAGAACCAAGCTGGCTTTAGACCTGGTCGTGGCTGCATCGACCACATATTCACCATTCGTCAGGTTCTAGAACACAGGCATACCTATCGGCGTCCGACGATGGTGGTCTTTCTTGACTTAAAAGCAGCATTTGACTCTGTAGACCGCGAGACTCTGTGGCAGTGTCTGTCATTGAAAGGCGTACCTCAGAAGTACATAAACCTTGTGAAGGCTCTTTACTCGAACACTACTAGTCGAGTCAGGGCTTATGGCGAACTGTCATCTACTTTTGCAACCTCAAGTGGTGTCCGTCAAGGCTGCCCACTTTCTCCATTTTTGTTTAACTTCATCATAGACCTATTGATGGAAATAACACTCTCGTCGACTGAATTCTCGGGTATTGATCTCCTTCCAGGAGGTCCACTTATCGACTTAGAATACGCAGATGACATAGTCCTGTTTGGTGAAGACGCTGACAAAATGCAGAGTCTTCTGGTAGCACTAAGCAACAATGCCAGAATGTTTGGGATGCGCTTCTCTCCCTCTAAATGCAAGTTGTTGCTTCAGGACTGGTCTGCGTCAACACCTGAACTAAGGATAGGGAGTGAAGTAGTCGAACGCGTTGACAACTTCACTTATCTTGGAAGTCTGATCAGCCCTAATGGGTTGGTGTCTGACGAAATCTCAGCACGGATTCGTAAAGCTCGTTTGGCTTTTGCCAACTTACGTCACCTTTGGCGGAGGCGAGATATCCGTCTATCAATAAAAGGACGAGTATACTGCGCGGCAGTCCGTTCTGTTTTAATTTACGGCAGCGAAACATGGCCTTAAGAGTAGAAGACACCCGTAAGCTACTAGTATTTGACCACAGATGCCTTAGAAATATTGCTGGCATCTGCTGGGATCACCGGGTAAGTAATAGTGAGGTTAGACGCAGGGTATTAGGGAATGATGGTAAATCAGTTGATGAGGTTATGAATCTTCATCGACTGAGATGGTTGGGCCACGTATTACGTATGCCTGAACACCGATTACCGCGACGTGCAATGCTAACCGGTGTAGGGGATGGTTGGAAGAAAGTTAGGGGCGGCCAAACCAAAACGTGGCATCAGTGCCTGAAGTCACTAACTTCTAGTCTGAGCCATGTTGGTAGATGCAGACTACTTGGTTGGGGTCCGCGTGACTTTCGTAACCAATGGTTGGAGACCCTTGGTGACATGGCTCAGAATCGATCACAATGGCGTCGGTGTATACACTCTCTGTCTTCTCTTAAACTAAGAGATTAAGATCACTTCACATCTTTCTTTCTACGAACTAATTCTTTCTTCCTATACTATATCCTTATTGCAATCTTTCTCCTATATATTACCACCTTTGACCTAACCACTCCTATGAATCCGGTGTTCATCTTGCTGTGCTAATGAGGTATGGCAACCTGGGCCGATGCATACATGTGCCTGGTCCTACGTTGTAGCTGACTGACTGACTGAGACAAGACTCCTGTATCCGTGCTGAAATTTCGTCAAACATCAGACCGCACAATCTGATTAGACTCCCAAGATAAGTGAAGCGGTTTACACGCTCCACTACTTCACTCCCTATCATTAGTTCGAGTGTTGATGTATATGCCTGGTCCTGTGTTGTAACTAACTGAATGACTGAGAGGTCAATAGTGATCTGAATCTATTTACGATGAGAACACTGGAGCGTCCTTTAAATTGTTTCTAATAATCTAACGCTTTTAATTATATTAACCGAGTCGCTTACCCTAACCAACTAGTATAGTGAAGTAGCATAATGAGTGATTATAAGAAATTCCAAAATGTTACTTTTTATCGTTAAATATTAAACACAGTTAAATACGCATAGCAAAATAAAAATTCGAAAAAGGCTTACATACATTGCTGCACCATCTCCAAGTTGACCAGCAAAACTACCAAATTGATACCCGCAATAACAATGAGCTGTGGGATCACTACCAGGCCATAATTTGTTTCCTGACAAATACTCAACTAGATGATTTGTTTCTCCTGTTTTCTCTATACAGTTTTGTTCATCAAGATGGTTAACTTCATGACGAATATTTAGCAAACTAAGTGCATCAAGAGAAAATAAAACTACGCGGGGATTGTCTATTCTGGTTGGACTGACACGTGTGAAACAAGCATTCGGTACAGATCGTATACTATTGGATCCATTGTCGATCGGTAGACATTTCAATTGGATATTATCGAACTGTGGACAATGTTTTGACCACGATGATCTCTCGGACAAGGAACATGTATTAAATAGCATATGAGTTTCTTTATTAACAGTATTTGAAAAGAGACCAAGATACGTTATGTTAAAACATTGTTCCACTAACTTCTAAAACACCATATAGAATATCAACAGAATATTTGCTTTCATAAAAATGCATAATAATATTTATTTCGTGATGCAAAAAAAATGAATAAAACAAATAACAAAGAGTTTATATGAATGTGTCCCAGTCTAATTTATCACGTTGTGTATCAAGGTGAGATGAATATACGGGACAACAAAGTGATAAAAAAGCTAACAGGAACACGAGTAGATATAAAGCGAAGCTGTAGTAACTGTCCACCATTAAGAGACAACGGTTTGTCATGTAATAAATCACGATACTGCAAAGATGTCCAGACCCAATTAGAAAAAGCGATATTTTCGGACAAATGTCAGTTAATTAGATCGCAGGACCATAACCCATAGAATAGTAATATGGTTTGATGCAATTGACGTGCTTCCTCTGATTAATTAGTGCAGTATGGAACTGAATGTAAACACCAATTGAGCCCAATAAACCTAATAAACATTCATATACTCCGCTTTGAGTCACAATTTCTGTGTTAGAACTGGTAATACTATTCGACGATCTTTATGAGTAGGTACGGATAAATTTAAAACCACGGATCCAATATTTGAAGATCCAGTGGATTACCTATCAAGCTATCGATATAAAACCAACTACTATGGAATATTGAAACCTAAAACGGACTGCCATTTGGTATCTTTATGAATACTTCAAAACAACAAGTGAGTCTTATTGCAAAATTAGGACATAATTTATCAGCCATTCAAGACGAAAAGTTAACCTGTCTGAAAGAGATAGTGAGCTGTTGGGAAGGTTTCAAGAAGCAGTAGCTGAACAGATTCCTGAAACCTCAAACATGGTCTATGATGAGACTGGACAAACTAAACTTATTCATTCCGTTAGAGGTGGTAATCACGGTCTTCAAACTAATCAACAATAATTCTATATCAGACGTGGCATCATGTTTCTTGTCGATCAAAATTTACAATACTCTAAAAAATTAGTGGTCCCGGACTAAATACTAGTCACTTGAGTTCAAACTTTACCATCAAACCATCAGCCGGTAGAAATCAGTTTATGATGTGGTGGAAGCATCATCTATCAACGCATTCGAAATAAAATCAGACCAGGGTCCCCATCTTCAGGACTAGAAAAAGGCATCTAACTTCCTAACCCATCCGAATTCTCACTGAATGTTATCTAATCTTAGTGATATTTTTGCTGTACCCAACCTGCTGATTTTGAGGTTTTCCCCCAGTTTTTTGGGGAATTTCTCAAGACTTGGTAAAATTCAGAGGGGTTTTGTGTCATTTCCCCGAAATTGTCTATAACGGCTTTACCTAAATTTTCCTAAGACAGACAAATTTTCTCCAAGATTTGGAAGTCATAACCCCCTATAAGTAATGTGCGGAGATTTGCTTTTGTGACAAAATCAACCTGTTAATCTATTTTCGGTTTAATCCTACTATGCCTATGATAGACAGAACCTGGTAGTACATTTTCTCGAGCAGTGCTATCGATTATTCGTAGATAGAGGACATTTCACAATCTCCCAATTTTTAGAAAAACTCGACCCGTTTTGGGGAAGCCGTTATAGAACATTCTGGGGAATTTCCCTAATATTTTGGGTTTTCCCTCAATTTCCCCCCAAAACTTAAGGAAAGGCCATTGGACTTTGTGGATTCCCCCAAACGGGAGATTAATATCCCAAGTGTTCCTACTTCATAAAAGCTTCCATGAAGTAGGACATGAGTGATTTGAGTGTTTTTTTGTAGGTTTAAGCCATTTTTCCTGCTGTAAACATAGTCAGTGCATTTCAATGATTCCTCCATAAATCATAGCACCGCAATACTAACCTTTTGGGTATAGACATGAAAGAGAAGTCTCGTATTCCGGAATTGACTTCTAGCACGGTATGTTGTGTGATGCATTCACCTGTACTTCCTACGAAGCCAGTGGACGAAGACCCGACTAACGACCTTCAACGGCTCTCAGTTCCGATACTAAACTACGAAAATCGAATAGTTTCGACATAGTTGGAGGACAGTAAAATGGCAACGCTTCAGGGGTATCGTTCGCTGACGAAGGTTGCGAGCACTTGAAGGTCAAACTGTCGCAAGATGATTGATGCGTCACATCGACAATTCAGAAGCGGTCAGATCAAGACATTTCTAGATTTGGATTGAGTTCATATGCACCATGTGTGATAAAGTTCATCCTCCAAGTAACGAAGACGATGCCATCGTGATGATGCATGATGTGGGACCAATCTTCAATGATATAATGTTATTTAGTCGATTCACAAGTTGAGACAATTTTGAGACCTATTTGAAGGAAGTAGATAAGTTAATATGACTTCTTTGGGTAATAAATATTTTTGTAGGATACGCATACTAAGTACGTTATATCAGTATGTCAGTATTGTCAAGTTCACTAAAAGCCCTCGCGGTTTTGCTCCAACGACCTTGAACGCTAAAATATGAGACGCCCATTCAAATAATTCGAATTCAAATTTGTGTAGCAAGGACAGAAGGCCTACGGCCTATGTTATTCTTCCTTTTAGTATGCTGTTACGAATGTCCAGTCAATTGAAGGTGCGGACATCACTGTTTTAGATAACAGACTCGAAGTATTGATGACTTGGTGTGAAAACCTGTACGCCACGGGTATTTTGCTCTTTCTTTGCTTTTCTACTTGCCTGCTATGTCCTCTGAGATGTCTCGATCTAATGGGGAGAAAAAGAGAGAATAAGTTAGGTCGAAAATCATTTACCAGTATTCTGTACATCAAACTTATATCTCCCCTTAGTCCGCGATGGGATAGAGTAGAGTTTCAACTATTCAAGCCGCTCTTTGTATGGATCTGGCGATCTGGATCATCATCACCTCCATGCAGGAACCTAGGTATATTATCGGCAAAAGAGAGAAAAGAAAAAAATTGAAACCATATTAAGATACTATATTTAGTCCCTAAGAATATTCCAAGTTTTCTTTTAACAGACTCCTGGGAAGTCGCTTGGATTACCTCAGCTGACAGTGATTTCCAGCATTTGATTACTCTTAAGGAATGGAAAGTGTATCTTCAGTCCGTTCTACCGTGTAGAGTCTCCAGTTTCTGGGTGTTATCTCTGAGTTTTGTGATGGAAATAAGTTAAAGTAGGTGTTTAAGGGAATATCTAAATGTATATAAGAAGCTGTAAGCCATTGGAAGGTCACCTCTAAGATGTGTGCACTCTAGTAGTAGAGGTTTACTGATTGAGGGTGCTCTTCATAAGACTTGAATATGAGTAACCGAACCGACTTCGTGGCTCGCGTTTTATTCAGCTATCCGTTGGGTTACATGGATTTCAAGTGTTCTCATATTTAAGTAGTCTTTTACTTCAACGAAATCTCAAAATCACTGCGAAAAACACTAACTAGGCTTTCTCTCATTTGCAGTGTACACGTTTACTCTAGTTTTATTTCGTAACTTGATCTGGTATACCGATTGTTCAGCTAACCTTCACCGTCTTTGTCTAAAAGTAGATAGGGTCATGAATACAGCATATTAAGAATAACTTAAGAGTTCTGGATACGAAAAGGTTACATGAATCTCTGTTTTACGCGAGAATTAAGACGAAGTGTCAAATAACGGCTCAGTTTTAAATGTTAGCAATACTTTCTTCAGTTACTAAAGTATTGCAATGAATCACTTTTTTTAAAGTTGTCCAGTTCTGTTTGTAGTGCTTCATGTTCAAGAGATATTTCAGCCGATGTAGGCAGAGCGTTTCGACGTATAATACTAAAAAAGAGTTTCAGAAGCTGGACTGAATTCGATAGTGTTCTCAATGAGTTCCAAAGAGTGAGAAATTTTTTTATCATTTTCAGGCAATCCATACTCACCATGTTCAAGTCAACTGTAAATTAATGAAGTACATGAGGTTTCAATTCATGCTCATGGTGTATCAGTTCACACTGGACGACCAGCGTAAACCACAAGGTCTAACAATGAGTCAAGACCGTGAGAACTTTTCTTGACATGTGACTGTAGAGGTAAATAAATCCATAAAATAAATAGCTCTGTAAGTTTTCGACATTGATGCAGACCGCATGTTTTAGTGGACTCATCTAGCTGAAGGCGCTCGGTCAGGCATCCGTACCAGATCACGTGTGGTAACGCCGTGCTCAACATCTATCGCAATCGCTAGCCAGATTAGATCAGAGAATTCCTATATATTGGTAATCGCCAAATACTCTCTTCCGATCTCCTCGACTCTGTCTTTTGATTTCTCTGGGTGGGAACGAATTATAATAGGTGTTACTGGTAGAAGCGTTGTCAAACACTGAATACCTGTGCCGTCTTCCTTGGTGAGACCGACGTGATCTGGTACACCTAATTGCTACTGTGAGTCCGTTCCTTTTTGGGATTTATATATACTATCACCTTATTTTTTAATTTTTTATACATTGTGATATTTTTTCCTCGTGTTTTAAGATATTTATATATTAGTCCCTCGTATTCTCGTACCTAATATTCCTCTATGACCGAACAGACTCCAAAAGTATTTTACATTAAAACCATGTCCCCAACCTCGTCCCACCTCATGCCTTTCTGACCCGACAATATCAAAGCCGGGTTCTGTTACGCAGAAGCCGAATTCCACGAGCACGGCGTGAACGACACACGTGCACAATTCCTCGCAGTAGTCAAGGCACTTCCGCGCGAATTCAACAGGTACGCAACACCTGGTATGTTTACTAGTGATGTTTCTGAACATTAGGTAACGCTAAAACGTTCTATCTTTAAACGAGGAGACCCAACCGATCGACAAAGGTTGGACCAACTGTTTAATAACATAGACCTGCAACACCGTTCTGCGACGGACATGTTGCTAAGGATGAGAGGGTTATAGGCCTAAGAACTTTCGATGATGGCCTATTTAAACAACTTTTCTAGTCAAAACTTCCCCAACAGGTGCAAGCTGTGCTACTCTTGTTCCACAACAACGCCTTAGATGAGCTGGCTGAATCTGACGACCGCATTTTAGAAACTACGAAATCTTCTACTACCGAGGTTTTTTCAGTCAAAGAAAAGCCTCAAACGACTCAGAATGACATAACCGAGTTATTCCATACACTTACACGTTATCTTAATTCTCGTAACGACCGTAAGCGATCACACCCTCCACGTAGAAGCACTTTACATAAGCGATCTGTCTCTAGACCACGAGAGACAGATAACCCCGACTGGTGCTGGTATCATAACCAGTGTGTAAAGTTTTCCAGAAATTGCAGAAAACTCCGCAATTTTCCCAACACGAAAACGAGTGACTCGAAAAACAACTCGGGAAACTTCCAAGCCGGCACGCGTTAACGGCAACCATAGCCGGCGAACATGGCCGTCTGCTATACGTCACAGATGTGACAACGAGAGTTCGCTACCTCGTTGACACTGGTGCGAAGTTAGCGTTCTCCCAGCAAATCCCTACGACCGGCTTAACAGATCGGCTCTAAATCTACAGGCGGCAAACGGAAAACTTATCGCTACGTATGGCAAAAGGTACGTTTACCTGAACGTGGGTTTACGCAAACCCATTCACTGGATCTTCGTTGTTACAGATGTATCTATGCCAATCATTGGTATGGACCTTCTACAACACCATAATCTGATCATCGACACACGCAAATGGAGGCTAGTAGACGGAAACACCAGTTTATCCGTTTGCGTAATTTCCTTTTCTGGATGCAGATTATCCCCAGTCACAATTAAGCATATGATAGACCCACTTTATCAGCCACTACTCGATAAGTATCCTGGGATACAACAAACGCAACCGAAACTACCGTGTGTAACCAGCAACGTTACACATCACATCACGACTACAGGACCACCTGTATTCTCTAAAGCACGACGACTAGCCTCTGAAAAGCTAAGGTTAGCGAAAAACGAGTTCGACAACATGATAGACTTAGGAATCATACGGCTGTCAAACAGCCCATATGCATCTACGTTGTACATGGTCCCTAAAAATCTTGGCAAGCGCGGCCTGCTTGATCATCTGGGCTACCTGTTCCTGTCATCTAGATATTTCAACAAGTTATCTATTTTGTTTGTTTTAATATATCACTATGTTTATTAATCGCATAACCTATTCTGCTGCCTTTCTGAAAAGTGAACAACCTTGCGTTATCAAAGTTACAAAAAACCCAATAAAAGACAATGTGGTTGCTGGCAATATACAGCGAATAGAATGCACATTATTCAGATGTTCATTTAGTGAACTGCTAACATCTAACTGGCGATCACTCAATATTTATCGCCAGGACCGACCAAGAAGAAAGAAACGGAAACTTGTTGAAATGCTTTACGCTGAGAATTCTATATTGTACCAAAAATATAATATTGAATAAAGCTGAAAAAAAGGACAGCAACGATTGGCGTCCAACTGGTGACTATCGGCGATTGAATACGAAAAACATTTCCGATCGTTACGCGTTGCCTCACATTCACGATTTGACAGCTACCTTGAAAGGTACAACTGTTTTTTCGAAAATCGACTTGGTTAAAGCGTATAACCAAATTCACATGGCCACTGACGACATACCGAAAACCGCCATAACTACTCCTTTCGGACTCTATGAATTTTTGCGAATGCCTTTCGGTCTAAGAAACGCTGCTCAAGCCTTCCAAAGATTCATAGACGACGTTTTTTGAGGTCTCAACTTCGTACATGCGTATGTCGATGACTGTCTTATCGCAAGTCCGGACAGAGAATCACATCTCAAGTATCTGGATCATGTTTTCGAACGACTACAAAAACATTGCATTTTTGTAAACGTTCAAAAATGCCAAATCGGGACCGATTCATTAGACTTCCTAGGACACACTATCGACCCCTTAGGTCCAAAGTGGCGGCCATTCTGGATTACCCAGAACCGACCAACGTCAAGCA